ATATATATATAATTTTTGTATGCTGGTCCTGAGCTTTACCACTCAAGACTATTGCTCTCTCTATATATAAATACTACAATCTGTGCACTGGTGGCTCATGCCTGTAATCCTAGCTACTTAAGAGGCTGAGATCGGAGGATTGTGGTTCAATGCTGGGCAGGAAAGTCTGTGAGACTCTTTTCTCCAATTAACCTCCCAAAAAGCCAGAAGTGGAGCTGTGGGCTCAAGTGGTACAGTGTTAGCCTTGAGCAAAAGAGCTCAGGGACACCATTCTGGCCCTGCCTGAGTTCAAGCCCCAGGACTGGCACCACAAATAAAATAATAATTATTTCAAAATCCCAATTGTGTCTCTCACCTTCAAACACACAGTATTTCTCTTTCCTCCTCTTGCTTTCAAGCAGAGCTGAGGAAGCCATGTGACTCCAGAATGGGATGGTGAAGGAGATGCTTTTGGCCAGGCTCTCTGGCTTTTAGAAATGAGAGAATTTATAAGGAACAAAGAAAACTCAGAAAATCCATGTGGGCAACACAAGGGAAGGCGGGGGAGCGCCTCTCCCAGGCTGGAGTCCTTACTTTGTGTGGTAGTGGGCAGTGTGCATAGGTGCCCGGCCCAGGCTGGCACATTCCTGCAGACACATCTGTCTCAGGGACACGGAGGGCTCATGCTCTGTGGGCCGAGACCCAGAGGTGCCTCTCCCCCCGCCCCGCCCCTACCCCAGGCCTTGGCACAACCTTAGGGAAAAGGAAGGAGGCTAGAAGACTCAGGAATTAAATTTTCCACCCACCAATTTTCCAGAAAGGAAAATGAGTTGAGACTCAGTGACTGCTGCATTTACTTTACTTGTACATATGGTTTTTTTTCGTGCTGCTCCTGGTGCTCCAGCTGCACTTCTTAACTAACCCTTGGTCAGACCTCCTCCTTCTGTGGCCTCCAAGAGGCTACAAGAATGACCCCCAGCACCGGTCTGCTGCTGTCCACACGGTGTAGTCTGTTACTGGCTCTCACCCATTGAAACAAGTCAAATATACCCTCCTTATTTTCTCTGCATTCTGGGCTTCCTGGCAGGAAGCCAGGGTCTTCTCTAGTTTCCCTCGGTTGGTCTTGGCCAGTTTCCTACTCGTTATTTCTCTGCCCCTGACTCATGCACTTCAGTGCTGTTTCTCCAAGCAATTCCCATTCAGCCCACAGCCAGGGTTCTCAGGGGTCTGAGCTAGTAGCATGCCTCGAGGCATTCCATCCTACACCCAGGCAGGATGGGGAGAGGCCAAGGCTACTGCAGAACTCTATGGAGAGAGGCCTCCTCTCCCATCACTGTGTCCTGTCACATCAAGCAAGGCACAGACTCTTCTCCCGTCCTGTAACCTTGTCATCTCTGGGCTATGGATCCCAGGGTTCAAAGGAATGATTCAATGAATGTTCTTAGCAACCTAGAAGAAAAATCTCTACACTTTGTAATTCTACAATTCACCTCTGGCAGAGCACATGGCCATACAATGGATTAAAAAGAAAAAAGATAGCTGGGAAGGTGGCTCAGTGGTAGAGCGCTTGCCTTGCATGCCTGAGGC